CACCTGGAGGTAGCTTTAAAGATGTACCTGATAGCAAAAACAGAAAATAACCCAAGTCTATCAAGAGCAGAGTAGGCAGATAATTAGGGTAGAGTCCTGCACTGGAATACTGCACAGCAATGAAAAAGGAACAAGCCACTGCTCCATTCAACAATGGTCATAATGTGATGTGAAAGAAGCTGGACACAAGAGAATACCTACTGTTTGAACCCCAGATCAGTGTGAGTTCTAAACCAGGCAGAACTAATCTATGGAGGTAGAGCACATATCTTTGAAGGGAGCTGTCAACAGAATTTTTTCTCTTTCTTAACTTGAGTGATGATTTATTGATCTAGTCATCTAAGAGCATGTGCTTTAGCTGTGTGTAGGTTGTAATGAATTGAGTAGAAAATTAAAATAAAATGATTCAGTGTCAATCAAAAAGTAAAATTAATTAAAAATAAAAAATAAAAATGGTGACTGTTTGTGTATGTACTAATAATTTTTTCCCATTGTTGGAGATGAAGCTGATGGCCTTTCTCCTGCTAGGCAAGTGCTGTACCACTGAGCCACATCCACAGCCCTCAGTCTGTATTCTTGACTGAAACTTGATCAGGTCAGGGAGATGCCCAATGGCAGACTAGAGAGACTGTGGAGGAATAGCCAAGCATTCCAGAGACACAGGGACAAGAGAAACCCTGTGGATTTACAAAGTCACAGAAGTAAAGTGCAGAGAAAGCAAACAGGAACACTTGGAGCATCACCAAGAGGGATATTGATGCAAGGGACAGAAAAGGCCAATACTGTACAAGTCTCCTATGCACTTAAAAACAAGAAATTGAGACTAACCCAGGTAAAATAAAACACTTTAGATTTGTTATTGGAAGAAAAATAAGAAAAATCTCCTAAGCTAGTTCTAAGGCTGTACTTCTCTATACTGGATAAAGTTTAAAATGCCTAAAAAATTAAATTATATGTTGATTGTAAAAACCCACTGGATGCTGCTAGCCCTGTGCTATCAAATATCCTTTGTCTGCACACCAACCCTTGGAGATGGGTGTTTGTTATTAGTCCCCTTTAACAGAAAACTCAGGTTCAGAGAACAAACCCTCATCTGAAGCCACACCACCATAAATGGTAGAAATGGATTCTAACTTGGGTCCACTTAATCCAGAGGAGGTTCTATGGGAAAAAAAAAAACTATTGCTAGAAAAACAAAGCTGAGCACTGACTGCAAACAAACTCACAATCTTGAATGCGCTAACCCCATATAATAAGTTTGTTCTGCTTTAAATTTCCCTGTGATCATTCTGCACATTTATGTATACACACATGTGGCAATTTTATATACAGGTTGCAGATGGCAATCAGTGGTCTGCAGCTGTTCAGTCTCCAGAATAAATAATGCATTGTATAAGATATGATTTTTCTAAATGACCTACCCTTCAAGATGGTTGAAGTTAAAATGCAAGTTTTTATGTTTAAGATCAGTCTTAAGGCCACCATCGTAAACTTTTTACCCCCTTTATAATCTTTCATTTAGAAATGTAAAAGAGCACTAAGTTTTAACTTCTTGTCTTGATTTGGATCTAGGACCTTCAATTGTGGGTATAAATGTTGAAGACATTCTAAAGGTTTAACTGTAAGTGGCAGCATGACCCTCAGAACCAGATCCCTGCTCAAAACTTCATATGTTTATCTCAAAGTTATTCTGTCATGGTGGTGTAGGGTTATAAGTGGTATGCAAAAGTACCTCACATCTTTGCCTGGAGTAACTGAGGATTTTCCTAGGGTTTTACTCTTCTATTTTCCACTGTTAAATGATTCTATACAGAAGAACAGAGCAAAGGAGGCAAAAGAAAATCTACACACTAAAACAAATTCACCAAGTTTAATGCCATAATTTTCCAGAAAGGTGTTAATATCGTCTAATTGGTTGTTATCTTTTACTTAACCCTTAGAAGACACTTGAATCACAGTAACATCCTTTCTTTTAGTTAACTAAGAAAAAAATTTCAAAAGGCAAAGAAATGTTGATTGATTTCTAGTGGGGAGTAGGGATGGCAATGAATCAGACAATGTCCTCTGGGTCCACCATAGTAAGCAGAAGACAAGCACTGAGATGGAGCGAGGAGGAAGGGCGTTCTCCTGTGCACACCTGCTTCATTCCTCCTTGGACTATCGGAGGTGCCCCTTTTAAACATGCAAGGTGCTCTAAAAGTTGAACACCAGATTGTGCCTGACCAGTGGCCAGGCCCAGCCCCTCACCTGGGCCTTCCTGGCAGGACCCCAAGAGTCTTGATTCCCTGTTAGGTTTAGCATCACCATCCACTTCATGCCTTGAGATTCCTCCGTCCAAGACCAGTGATATGTGACTTCCTGAGAGGTTTTGATTGCTCTCTTGTTTTTTAAGCACAAAAGGGAAATGATCATGTTTTTTAAAAATGCATTGAGCCAATACTACAAACACATTATTTACTGAGCAGTAATCCAGGGAAGTCCTGTAGAGCTGGCAAACGCATGCCTTGATTGTTTTCTCTCTGAATGACTGACAAGGTGAGTCTAATTTCTCTGCACCTTGTCACCTCTCCCCCCACATACCAATAAGCTCCTCATGCATATGGCAGGCATAGAGATCTGCTCCATGTAGTAACATGGTAGTAAAATTATATTTTAATATTAAAATTACATATTTTAATGAAGACATTCTGACTAATCAGAAAAAAAACAGACTAAGATAATGGAAATAGTAATTCTGAAGTCAATTAAATTTATTCCTTTTAGCATTTAGGAAGTTCAACCAACTAAAAGCAAACATGCTGTTTATTAACCTGCTAACCCATTTTAGTGAATCACTGAGAACAGTGTGGTAGGGATACTCGCACTAAAAGATCACTCCGCTATTACTAGGTAGGAGTCAGACTAAGAAAAGAACATATTATTTCAATTTCTTTTCTATCTCAATGTGTAGCAGCATGCAAACCTTCTCTGCAGGTCAGTCCATTTGTGAACATCTGCTTTGACTGGTATCATGAACCTTTGTGTATATGTGTGGTATCGAACTCGGGGCCTCATGCATTCAGGCATGCCAGCCAAGTCCTCTGCCATGATCTACAGCCCCAACCCTGGCATCATAAACCTTGTTCTAACATTTAGTGTTTCCTCAGGAGATGATTCTGAAGGAAACCCACATCCTAGTTCATAACAGAACAAGGTAAGTATGGGTCACAGAACTCATGAAGTAAAACTGTGCAATCTTGAATGAATGAGCTCAAGATAAATTTAATAGACGAAACAGAATTAGTTAAGCTTATGGAAACTTAAGAACAGGAAGGTTATGGGAAGGGGCCTGTTGCAGAGTGAATATGCTAAACCATATTTGTCTTAGTGGTCTTCTCACCACTTGGCTGTTGACATCATTATTTAATTCATCTGGGCACAAAACCCAGGACCTCCAGCATATTGGACAAGTGCCACATCCTGGACATTGAGCCACATCCCCAGCTTGAGAGAGGGTATATTTTAATTTTCTTCTGCAGTAGCAGAAATTATAGACTTGTAATTTCCACTCTTTAATAGACACAGGAGCTTCTTTCTTGCAATCAAAGATCTGATTTTTCTCTTTGAAAAACAGAGATTCCCCTGGAACTATTACGAACCAACAGTAAAGATTTAGAAAATGTGCAGCAGCAAACTAGTTTTCCATAGACTGTAAAATATTTCTACTGAGTGGAAATTATACCTTGCAAGTTCAGATTTTTTATATTTCATGAGAGCAAGGAAGATACATTTAATCCAGGCATTTGAACACCTGTTTTGCCAAATTTCTCTAGTTCTTACTAAGATTGAACCAAAGTTCTGAGATTGCTTCTCATGGTGTTTTATGTTTGGAAAGACCCAGTAGCATTCACTGAGTGGAAAAAAAAATCTCATTTCATTTATTAAAGTGTATTTTTACTTTAATTACCACCACATAGGAAAAGGAGGAAAAAGTAACAATCTTGTAACAGAGTAGCAAGTACTGCCCACTCCTCTGTTTTAAAAAGCCTTTCAAACTGCACACAATGGTACATGCCTCTAATCCCAGCGGCCCAGGAAGCTGAGACAGGAGATCACAAGTTCAAGGCCCACCTTAACAATTTAGCAAGGCCCTAAGCAATTTAGGGAGAACCTGTCTTAAAATAAAAAATTAAAAAGATCAGGGATGTGGCTCAGTGATTAAGCATCAATCTCCAACCCAAATTTAAAAATAATGAAAAATTTAAAAGCCTGTCAAGAACATCACAGAGGTGACTCCTTTATCTAGTAAGGAAAAGGCATCAGTTTAAAGACTAGCCACCTATATAGTCCATGGGCAAAATACAGCTCACTGACTGCTTTTTTAAAGCCCAGGAACTTAGAAGGGGTTTTACCTTTGGAAATGGTTGGGGAAATTTTTTATAAATTATCTTTATGACATATGACATAAATATATACTATATATAAATGTATACTATATATAAATATAGTATATTCTATAAATTAAGTGTTATTGGAGTCCAGCCTTTCCTATTTACTTATGTATCATCTATAGCTATATTTGTGCTATTACTTTAGTTAAATGACCACAAAAAGCCTAATATATTTACTCTCTGGTTCTTCACTGAAAATGTTCATCAAGCCCTATGGTGAGTGATTTCTAAGGTCCCTTTCTTCTAAGAATTTTACTTCCTTAGGTAAGCAGAAATTCTCTGTCAAAAACAATATTGGGAATACAAGTTAGCTTGATGACATCATGATCCCAAAAGAACTGCATCTTTTGTGTTCTCAACATGTCCCACAGAATATGTAAAATGATACTTACTGACTCACACACAGAACATGCAACCAAACCTCCTAGATATTGATTACTTTTAAAAGTAGTCTCTTGGTCTAGAAAGCAATATTTTATGATTTTTAGTAATTGTATTTTATTAACAGATTTACTAGAACATCTGAAAAATTACCAAGTATAATGAAAACTTTAAAAAAAAACAACTCTCTTAGAAATTCACACCATAAAATATTTATTAATAAGTAATGTTTTTCCCCTGCCTTTGGTTATTAAAAATTATGATTGAGTATCTTTATTGATACCCGTTGCCAACAATGGCTTAACATTATTCAGTCATGAGATAGATGATAGAAGAATAGATGACAGGTAGCCACTGACATAAATGTGTAAAAGACCATATCTTACAATGATTTGTTTAATTACAAATCTTTGTTTTGCTAGCAGTTGAAAATTTACTTGCATATACTTAAAACTTTTAATAAGTAAGTAATACACAAATAAATCCATTTGATTTTGGTAATTCAAAACATTGGCAATGAATACAGTGCTTATTGAGGCCTGAAAAAGAATAATATGAACTGTGGGGGAACAAAGGCAATATCTCTTTGAAAAGTTTTTCTCTTGACTTAATTGTCCTTATTCCTTGAAAAATATGCTACTTTTGCTAACAAGAGTATAAAAGCCTTATGATTTGCAAAGTAATGCCATGTCTGAGGTTTAAATTTCACTCCATGTCTCAGGTTATAACTGAGAAGCTATACAAAACATTCCTTTGAATTTTTATGATTAAAACACAAAAAATGTTTTATCAGATCTAGGTAGAAATACTGATATTCATTTATAACTATGCCCTCACTGCTACATAGACAAGGGGATCTGAAAATCAAGCAGAACAAAATGCCAAGCCATATGCATGGCAAAATTAAAAGCAACCCAGAGAAGTAGTAGGTGATGGTTTTATGATTTCAGTATTTTAAAAAATCCAATTACTTCTCAGACGTCCCAGTAAAGCCAGAATATTGAGATACCATCAAGAAAGGGATGAATGGTTTCATTACTAGACCACCCACTACTTCAAGATTAAAATAATCCCAGAGTTCTGAAATGTCCTCATTTGTTAAGGAACTACACAATTTCTTTCAGTCTCTTTATAATGTAGAAAATCATTTGGTAATAAGGTCTCTACACAAGGTAAAAAAAAAAGCACAAAACAGGGCAAAAAAGCACAAAAATAGACAAAATATATATATCTTTTTACAATGAAATAAGATGTGCCTATGGAATAGTGAGATTGATGACTAATCTCATAGAGTTCAAACTGGTTTCTTTTTATAATAACTGTGTTATTCATGTCTTCCCTTCACCTTAGATGCCTGTAAAAAAAAAATGGCCCAGGTAAAAGGGAGGTGAGTATTCTATTCTTGTATAGTTAAAACCCAACAACAAAAAGAAATAATAATGATGACATAATAAATCCCTTAATTCATCAGTGTACAAAATTCTTCTGGTACCACACCTCAAGGGCACTTAAGGGCTCAAGCATTTGTCACATCAACAACACAGGTGGCAGCTCCAGTGGATGTTATTTGTCCATCATGAATCCATCCATACACTGGGATGAAACACATCCAGAAACGCTAATTCAGAGACGTTTCCTACAGTTTGGGGGCAAATGAAGCCACACAAAACAACTGTGCCATAAATACCATTGACATGCACAGGCTTCCATCTGAAGAATCCATCCCAGTTTTTCTCAGCCTTATAAGGGAATCCAGTGGGTGACTTGTGAGCTATACAGTCACCGCAGGGTACATCTTCTGTTCACTGCTAGTGTGGGGGAAGGAGGACTGAATCTGCCTGTAGCCAGGCTGTAGGCTATCCATGAAAGGGGGCACAGGTGTCATGGGCACAGAGTCATGTTGCACTGTGTACCCCACATATGGGGGATGTAGGTACTGCCCTTGATGTGGCACAATTTGGGTTGCCTGCTGACAGTTCAGCACGGAGAAATTTGTGGGCATGTTAACATACACATTGTTCATAGTCCCCTCAGGCAAGCAACAGTTGGTCTGTGACCTTGTTGGGGGTGCCCGGGCCCCTGAGTTGGCACTGGAGCTGGAACTGGCAGCTGTGCTGGACTGGCGGGAGGATGACCCCCGGGAAGTGCTGGCGCTGGGAATCATGGGGATAGTCTCCATCAAGCGGTTGGCCCCCGGGGCTCTGCTCTGCTGGGGCTCCTGCTTCGGCCGGAGACATCTGCAGCAACAGGCTGCCACAAAGGACCCCAAGATGATAAAGGCCACAAACACAGAGCCAACGATCAGGAATGGCACATAGATGGGCACTGGAGAAAAGGACAGAAACATTATGACTTACTATAAGAATGCAGTTAAAATGGGTGACTGGTGGAGGCAACGATAAATAAGCCACACTGATGTCCAGAATCAAAGGACCTAACCTGGACTGGTTAGTTCACATGTTAGCAGTACATAAGATGTACCATCTTTTATCAAGTATCGAGGAGAGGTGCCAGGACCTTATGGACATGCTAGATTGACTCTCAGAAGGGGAAGTGTTAATATTTACAGTTAAAGTCATCAATTATAATGATTGAGACATACCCAAGATGGCAAAACATGGGCTTAAAGTATTAAAATTGCTAGGATTCTAATCTTCCTATAATAATGGAACTACCTAAGTTTAAATCTGCCCTAGCGCAGATTTAGTAGGATGTATCAAATAATAATGAGTTTGAATTTCTTAAGTCTTTCTTTTTTTTTTTTTCCAGGAAATTTTCTTACATTCCTTGAAAATGTCTTTTGCCATTTTTTTTTTTTTTTAGCAAGTTCTTTTTCCATAAGTAGATAAATAACAATTTAGGTCAGACTCTGAGCCACTATTATTTCCAAAAAAGAGTATAATGCATGAGAAATCAAGGAAGGGTTTAAATGTCTCCACAAATCTAAAGAAGTTCATCTCACAGAAACTGAAAGTAGAATAGTAGTTTCCAGAGACTAGGGAGAGTAGCAGGAAGGGTCCCGGGGATGGAAAGACTGATCAATGGATACAAGTTTGTATTCAGATAGGAGGAATAAGCTCTGGTGAGCTATGTAGGGTGAGTACAATTTAAAAACAATGCACTTTATATCCCAAAACAGCTAGAAGAGGCAATTTTGAATGAATTCATCATAAAGAAATGATGTAAGTTTAAGGTGCTAGTTACCCTGAATTGATCCTTACCCAATTTTTACATGAATGAAACATCACCTTGTGCCCTATAAATATGTACAATGACTACGTGTCAGTCAAAAATAGCAGAAACTTCTACACACTCCTGTCTGTTGAAGGGGTGGGTCCTTGGGTGAGGCATCCTGCCCAGTGTGGGGCATCTAGTGATGAAACTGCGATGTAGAAGAAAAAGTATACTGAGAACAAATATCAGGAACAAAAATCCATTTGTTCTACAAAGGAGTTGCCCACCAAGGGCCAAGAAGGCATGCAGGAAGGATGAGGGTGCAGGGAGGATGCCTAGAGGTTCAGTTGCACCCAAGGTTGTATGCAAAGTCTGTAGAGGAGAACCATGGTATTTATCATACTTAGCATTTATTTAGGTTTTATTCTTGAAAAATAAAACCATAAGATTTTTAAAAAAAAACACTTTACTAAAACCAGTAGCGAATTCCATTTTTTAAATTATTTTCTTTTTTAAAAAAGTCTTTTGGGAGTCACAGAGATGACACTTTAGAAAGTAGGCTGGTGGGGGCAGAAACAGGAAGGGGAAACCTGCAGAAGAAATCTGAGCCACTTCCGTAGAATTCCGCTCCATGCTTTAGAACCTGGTATGTTTTTGATATGTTCCTGTCCCATCTCCCTGGCTTCTTCTTCTTCTTCTTCTTTATTTTTTATTTTTTTTGCAGGTACTAGGGACAGAACCCAGGGCCTTGAGCATGCTAAGCAAGCATTCTACCTCTAGCTGCATCCCCCGACCTCCCTATTTGATTGAAAAATACACTGGATCTTGCCTTGGCAAACCACAGTGCCAGCACAAGATCAGATGGGCAGCATTTTAGGAAGAAGCCCATACCTCTGAGGTCAGATCTGCAAATACCCTCTGACTATCCCTTAGTGCAGTGGGCTTTTTAATTATTCTCCTTTGACTATTGTATTCCTGGAATCGGTGTTTTTAGAATCCAGCATCACCTGGAATCATTGAGAAGTAATACCTTATAAGTAAAACCTACTTTTGAGTAATTTAGCCAAAGTCTGACAATGAAAGATCTCCCTGAATTTCACTGCTGAGCAGAGCCAGTTCTATATATAGTGTCCATTCTGGCAGGCAGAGTATTGCTACAGTGTGCAGCACAGCCGCCCAAGGAAGCAGTATTACTCTGATTACACTATCACTGCAGGCTAACTATGAAGGGCTAGAGCAGTGGATGCCCAACTTTTTCCTACACATACTATAAACATTTCATTCTCTACATTAAGACACCAGTCCCAAATATGTTATCAAGAGGTAAAAAAAAAATAGTAAAAGAGAAAAATAATAATTTACCACCAACACTAGAGCAAAAACTAGCTCAAACCAGTCTCAGTCTACATAATGAGTTTTGGGGAGAAATAACTGTTCTCTTTCCAGGATTTTTAATTGGAAGTGTAAATAATTACACAGGGGTAAAGAATGCAGGGCTACTATAAGCCCCACTCCCCCCACCCCCCACAGGCTTAATTAGGCAGGTCGTCCTTCCTCACCGCTGAGGCTATGTGAAAGAAACAGGATTTAAGGAAATAGATTTAAAAGAGGAATGAAGAAGGCACCCATGCAACACAAGCATCAGGACTAGTGTGATGCCTGCTGATCTGTCCAAAGCCATCCCAACTTTTAGAGATCATTAATGGGCCCAACTTAACAGACACCTTTTTGTAGCAGTTTGGGCTTTGGCTCATTTCTCCAGGCTTTACTCCGAGGCCACACACTTTGCAAGGCTGGGCTTGCATTTTAAGATGGCACCTTTTCTAGAATTACCCTCAGTTCTCCTCTCTTCAGATTCAAGGCAGAGCATCAAGGAGTAGTATGATAATAAAATGTTTAATTACAGAGAATGACACTGAAAAGAGCTGTCTCTTACCAGGCCAACACAGAACCTACTTGGTGTCAATGTCCAGGCAGTTCTACCCCTGGGTGCTGGTATAAAGTCAGTTAATTAATACAACTACAAAAAAATGAGACACCATCTCTGAGACATGCTTGCCATTTGACTCTACCCCTCTCCAATCCCAAACTACACGCTCTTTCTCTTGCAAATAAGTGCAGACTTTCCAGGGAGGCAGTCTGGGAAGGCTTCCAAAGAGTGGAGGAAATGTAACCTATCAAATTCTTCTGTAGGTTTGTTTATTTCCAAATCTGGCTTTGGCAATTAAAAAAATCTACACACACACACACGTGTGTGTGTATGTTTGTACATATACACATATATGGGTGCGCGTGTGTATATATGTGTGTCTGTATGTATTTATGATCATATATATAATTTTATATACATAATTTTTTAAAAAAATCTTAAGACACAAAGAGCAATGTCACACCTACCAAGTCCATGTGGTAAGGAGAGGCCCCGGCCAGGGCAGGAGGGAGAGGTGCAGACGGTTTGAATTCCCTGAGGTCTGGTAAAGTGTACATCACCCACTCCAAAAACCCCAGGAACTGCCTTCCTTCGGAGAAGCCTTCAAGGAAGTGCTCACCATGTCCTTGTGTATCCCCAAGATATTAAGTCCTACGCAGACAGGTCACACAGGAGGGGCAGAGGACCCTGGACAGAAGAAATTTGGGAGCTGTGCGTGGCCACATTGCGGTAGGTGTGTGATTTGTTTCGGAAAATCTAAGCCTTGCCACCCCTTAGCGGACCTATGGGGAAACTGAGGCCAAGGGCAACGAATTGGTGCCCTACTTCGCACAAATTAATGGATGGGAAAGAATGTAGGCTCCACCTCCTGGTCCTAATCCCTTTCCTGAAATCTCAGTGCTCCTATCTCCTTCTCCTTCTCCAAGTTCTCAGATCAGTGCCCTCCATACAAGTCCAACTGCTCTCCCCTTTCGCACTGGGCCCCAGGTAACCCTACCTGCCGAGCCATCGGGGCTGTCTTTGTCCGCCCGACCAGGCTCACCCGCGCCCTGCTGGCGGTCGTTGTCACAGCCGCCCTGGTCCAGACGCGCCTCGGCGCTAGAACAGCAGTAGCGCAACGCGCAGCTGCCGCAGCAGATGGTGGCATCGCCGGCGTCGAAACGCTCGGGGCACTGGAAGCCTATCCGCCAGACGCCCTGCGCGTCCAGCCAGCCGTGGCAGTACTCGCCGCTGGCCCGCGCCCCCGCCGCCAGCAGCGCAGCCAGCAGCAGCTGCAAGAGCGAAGCGGTGTTCAGGGAGGAGGCGGCGGATGAGCGGCGTCCGCCCCACATGGCACCACCCTGGGCGCAGGCGAAGAGCCTCCGGAGAACACAGAGTATTCTCGGAGAATTGTGCCCTGTGAATACCGGGACTCTTCGCTGACTATCGCTTCGGCGGCGTTTTCCACAAAAGCCACTCCCCTCTGCCGCGACCTCGGGAGCCGTCGACGCCAGGCTATAAGGCTAGGGCTCCTAAGTCATTCCCTTCGAAAGCTGGGAGACCAGGTCCCTTCCAGGACTTGCCGTCCCAATGGCACTAGCTGTTTGGGAATTCTCGAGGTGCAGAATCAGAGGGCGTCCGGGGCTGCTGTCCCTCAATCCCTGGAGGCTTCACCCGCAACCAGACCCTCCCCGTGCATCCCCGAGGGGACGCTCACTGGAGCCGATGACTGCTGGGCACTCCGCTGCAGATCTGAAGCCAGGTCACTGCCCCGGGGTTTAAGCGTGGGAGTCCCGTACGCGAGTGGGGTGCATCTCCCCTTCTTTATTCATTTCGCGGGCAGCCAGAAACCGCAAAGAAAGCGGGCAGCGCGCGCAGGGTTCCAAGCAGCAAGTGCAGCGGCCGGCAGCGCTCAGTCTCCTCAGCTCCGAACTCCGTCCACATGGCTTCGGCCACGCAGCCCGGGCAGTCCTCGGCGTTGCGGCTCCCACGCTCCCCTTACCGGTCAATCCTCCCAACGCATGCCGCCCCGGGAGCGTCCAGGACACCGGAGAGGGCCCGGCGTACCTCCCGCTACAGCCCCGAGGGTCTGTCCGGCTGGCGGCCGCCGCGGCTGCTGCTGCTGGGCGCGGGTCCAAGCGAACTGCTGGTCCTGGCTCCTCGATTGTAGCGCGATTCCCCAGGCGCCAGGCAGCCTCCGTCCGGCTTTCCCTCTCCCCCTCGCTGGTGCGCCCTCAGGAGGTGAGCGCCGATAGGAGCCTCCCACGGAAGTTTCAGTCCTCGAGGCTAAGGGAGAAGCCGAGCTCCGCGGACGTCTGCACACTCTCTGCGCGCGGCGCCAGGCCAGCTCCGACTCGACTTGGTGCGGCGCTGCGCTGTGCTCTTATGAGAGGCTAGGGACTCCCTGGCGCGCATGCGTGCTGCGCGGGCTTCCCTCCTCCCCTGGACATCCAGAGGCGCCCAGCAGCCCTTCACTTTCGGACACCGAAAGCTGTGGCCATGGGCAGGCAGAGGCTGGATGGAATAGGCGCGGGAGAAAACAATTTAAGCAATCCAAGCCTTGCTAGCACAATAACAACAGTGGTGATAACAGAAGCAACCCAAACGTGCTTAGTGAAGATATTTGGTTCTCAAAACTTCCCAAAGGATTATAATCTCTTTCAGTTTTGCAGATGATGAAATCGCCATTCAGATGACCTGTGCTTCTCACTTTCCAGCCGCTGATATCCTGGCCCACCGAAGGAAACACTCGGTTGTTCATGGCAGCGTTGTCCCTTCTGGGCTGTGTTGGTTTCCACCACAAGGAGCGTGGACGAACTAAGAGACATCCCAAATTTGGCTCCCGACTGAATGAGTTGTGTCACTTTATTTTATTTTTTTTCTGTATCTGGGTGTGGCGATTGAACAGATTTCAGCAGAAAGGTGCCTCCGTCCAGCATTCGGTCTCAGTGGTTTAGACAGCTGCAGCCTGGGCGAAAACGAAGCTCAGACACACCAGAAATTCGGCTTTGATGAAAGAGAAATTAATAGCTTCTGTCTTTCTCGGAAGCTGGAAGAACAGGTGCTGACGCTATTAAAGCAACCGCGCTTATTTTTAAAGGAACTAGTTCCCCTTCCTACAAGGTAGGGTAGTCAGAGGATCTTGAATTTTAGACCCAGCCCTACCAGTAAAGAATTCTCAAGTGTTGCTGTTCTCAGTCTACGAAGTGGAGCAGAGGAGGTGATGAAAATTAAGGTCCCTTCCAAGTCTACAACCACAGAATACAAAGCAGTTTTATTCATAGCAAAGATGCTCTGGTTTAAACAACCATTGGACACTTAATGGGAAGCCTCAAACGTTAGTCACTGTTCACCCCAACAAAGTCAAATAAAGAATAAATTCTACTCCACGTTCCCCCTCCCTCCCTAACACCTTATTCTTTTCTCTAAATCTTTCTCCAAGTACTGCACTTTATTTCTTGCAGGACATTTGTTTATTTTTTAGCTACATAAAATTATGAATTTAAATATACTATTTACTAACTTAAACTAATAAGTTAACAAAATTTCAGTGTCGATGTATTATTAATCCAACACATGCAAAGCACTGTCAATGTACTTTGCTTTGTGTTGGGTACTAGGGAGTCACCAAAGTGTCAGATATTATTGCCATTCCCTCAAACAAGCCAAAGGTATCTGGGGTAAAACAAACAAATTGGACAAAGAATTGAATAAGCAAACATGAGTAATGATAAAATCTATGAGCAGTGATGTTTAAGGCCCATGTAAGGGGTTAGTGTGAGGGAGAGACCAGAAAAACCACCAGAGGACTGGGACTTAAAATTAGGCCAGGAGAAGCCAAGGGGAGACTTCATTTTTCAGATGTGTCACTTTCTTAGAAGATACTATTAGCTCTCATTTATTGAGAGCTTACTGTGTTCCAGGCATTGTGCCAAGAGTTTCACATGCACGATTTCATTAAATCTTTACAGCTACCCCATAAAGAAGACATAATTACTATTCTCATTTTACTACTAGGCTGACTTTCCCCATCCATATGGATAGAATGTCAATTTGCCTGAACTTACCTACCTAACCCCAAAGCCTGCCCACCATACTGCTAGTAGCTCTGGGGTCCACTGAAGGAAGCCTATGATTGTCTGAGCTGAGCATCAATCTCCACATGGTTAGATACCATTTTTCCATGACAGCTTACATTGATTTATGTGTTATTCTATTATTATGTGTTATTTTAAATGTTTTATTTAAAAACAAATGATGCAGAAGATTTGTATTTAGTACAGGCAGTACTTAGTATAGGCAGTACCTATAACCACACCCTCCATCCACTCTCCATTTATCCCTTTCTCCAAAACACCCACAATTTGTCAAGAGTTTGCTTATGAAGAAAAAAACGATGGGGCCAGGCTGTAGCTCAGTGGTAGAGGGCTTGCCTAGCACATGTGAGGCACTAGGTTCAACCCTCAGCACCACATAAAAATAAATAACGATATTGTGTTCATCTACAACTAAAAAAAAAATTTTAAAGAAAAAAATGATTGAGCATTTCATATTGGAATTGATTGGGTAACCTGGTAGTGCTGTTGTGTTTTTTTTTTTTCACCCCAAAGTCTACTTCATAGTTGGTGAACTGTGGAACTTAAGCAAATTCATCCTCTTTTTTTAAATTGTTACGTCTTTTATTCCTTAAAAGTTAAGGAAAGCTGACCTATTTCATTGCTACATCATATGGTAAATGTCTCTAGTACTCAGAGTTGCCTTACATGGCTCTGCCTCTTCCCCCAACTTATTTTTCTTTTTCTTTGTATACTTAGTATTTTGCACTGAAATTTTTCAAAATAAGTTGACAATTACTTATGAACTTCTCTATGGGACTTGCTCCTGGGAGATATTAAGATGGTTTTGTTCCCTGCAGAGGAAATAAAAAGAAATTTCCTCACTGTCCTTAACAGACAGTCTAAACTATTTTACTAGTCTCTTCTGAGAAACTATAATACTCATAACACACAGGTAGTGGCAATAATAATCTATTACAATCAAAACTAAATGTCATCTATCAAAATATATTTAAACACATATGAAAGTGTGTTTCTACTTCTCTTTTAAGAAGTTGAATTCTCTAGACTTTAAAAGTTGCATTTTCAGCATTTGCCTTTCAGTGTGTTGGTATATATATGAATAAAATATAATTGATGATTTAAAAACAGTCCTCTACATCTATCTTTACTAGAGCAAGTTGAAAATTGTATAGCTAAAGAACTGTAGTCATAACTTTGCTAACTGAAGTTGGTACACATCATATGGAGGTAATCAGATTTCATTCGGCTGGCAGTTCTAAAAGCTGCAAGCTCTACTTTGTTTTTCTTCAATTTTCAGCAAGATTAGAAGGTGCTTGCTATCTGTACCCCCATCAGCAGTCTGTTTAGGGAGAATGGCTTTCACTAGGTTCATTCATATTTTTCCTTTCTTTTTTTTCATAAATACAAGCATATTGAGAATTCACATTTGGTTTACTAAAAGTTCTTTTAAGTGCAAGTATATGTGTTACCAAAAGGGACCTCAAACCTAAAAAATATGCTAATTTAAATTTCTTGTAATTTTGTCTCATGATTGCTTAAACTGTATATGAATATCAAATTTGCATAATAATTTTTTTGGAAAAATATCTTTCTTTTTGCTTTAAATTTTCCATCCTCTTTCATCTTCCATCTTTTTTTTTGTAATGGATACACTGATTTCCAGAAAAATAATTTCCATATTTTGAATTCTTTTTTTCTCATAGACCATTAACTTCAGACATTTAAGAAAATTCTCTCCCTTTATCCTCCCTACATCTTACCCCATTGTTTTACTGAATTCCTATTTTGATGTTTATTATTGTCATCTTTTCTTATGGAAATATGGAGTGAAAGAACATTCAGGACTGTTAATAATGCCTTCATGTAAGGGGCGGGGCTAAGCAAAATCATCATGTGACAACACAAAGATGATAGCAAATATTTGCAAATCATATACATTCATATATTTTTCTAGTATCCAGAATATATACAAACTCTTATAACCCAAGAACAAAAAGACAACCCAATTTACAAATGGCTTAAAAAGTTATTTCTCCAAAGAAAAGCTGATGATCCCATGAAAAGATGTTCATTTTTACCACTAGTCTTTAGTGAAATACAAATCAAAACCACAAGATACCACTTTGCTCCCACTAGGATGGAAAAAATAATAGAAAATAGTGTTGGTCAGGAAGTAGAGAAATTGGCACTCTCAGACATTGCTAGCAGAAATGCAAAAATGGTTCAACCTGTGCAAAGCAGATATTCCCTCAAAAAGTTGGAAATAGAGTATTATAAAACCCTGAAATTCCACTGGTGTTTATAACTCCTCAGATGTGTATGAGTTATTCCCCCTACACCAAACAAACGGTGTCCTCTGCTTCAATTCAATTCTGAGACTACCTATAGATGGAATCAGATCCCACATACAAATCTACGAAAATTTAGTTAATAAATTAGGCACAGTAAGAGATTAACACTAATAATAAAATAGAACAGTGATGACAATATATTGTAATAAATAAAAGCATCACTACTTTTGTGCTGTGGGATAAAAGAAAATAGGACTTCTTGGACATAAGCACTGTAGTAGCATGACAATTGACGTGATTACCAAGATGGCTACAAGGTGACTAATGGCTAGGTAGGGAGATGCTGGACAAAGGAGTTCTGCCCTAGACAGAAAGGGATAGTGTGAGATTTCATCATGCCACTCAGAATGACATGCAATTTCAAACATATGAATTTTGGAGTTATGGAATTTTCCATTTAATATGTTCAGACCAGAGTTGGTTTCCAGTAACTGAAACCAATGAGAATCGGAGACTGCCATACAGTTTTCCATGGTCCCATCCCCACAGACTTATATTTGAGACTTAAGGTGTGATAAGAGAAAAATTCTGAGATGTCCTCAATTTAATTACAAAGGGCTGGAAGAGGAGGAAAGGTGGGAGAAATTAACCAACTCCAGGCAGAAAAAAAGATTGCTTCATAGTCCTGAATATGTTAAAGCAACTCAGATTCCATCACAAATGCCTTAGATGCCGCTGCATCCTGCTTGCAACCCCAACCAACCCAGAAGCAAAAAGTACTTCTCCTTATAGATGCTCATCTTATTCCAAAGCCCTTCCCCAGATTTTCATTACAAAGAATGTTCTTAGCTCTGGTCCAGTAGACATTTTTCCAACTGCTACCTATCTCTGATGCTGGGGACCTAAGTAAGAACTTGTCCCAAGAATGTTTTTTTTTTTTTTTCTTTCTGGCCAGCATCTGTAATGGCTCCATAAATCCTTTATTTCAGAAATCTCTCAATCTCACGAGTTTA